CAGAATGAAGGGTTGGATTACACAGAGACATTCTATCCAGTTTCTACAAAAGACTAATTCAGAGTCATCATAGCACTTATAGCTCATTTTGACTTGGAACTTCACCAAATGATGTCAAAACTGCCTTTCTTAATGGTAGTCTCAATGATGACATTTACATGGTACAACCCCCAGGATTTGTTGAAAGGGGGAAAGAATATTTGGTATGCAAGCTAAATAAGTCTATCTATGGTTTAAAACAGGCTTCTAGGCAGTGGTATAAATGTTTTGATCAAGTTGTGCAGTCTTTTGGTTTCGTGGAAAACAAAATTAATAATTGTATCTACATGAAACAACACAAGTCTCAATTCATTTTCATGGTTTTATATGTGGATGACATACTATTAGTAAGTTTTCACATATGCAGTTGCTTAATGAAACCAAGCAAATGCTATGTAACAATTTTGACATGAAAGATTTGGGAGAGGCTTTTTATGTTTTGGGTATCAAGATTGTGAGGAATAGGCAGCATAGAAACTTGGGGTTATCTTAGAAGAGTTACATTGATAGAGTATTGAAGAGATTCAATATGGAAGCTTGCAGTAAGGGTGATGTTCCCATTGGTAAAAGGGATAAGTTCTCTCTCTCACAATGCCCTAACACTGAACATGACATTCAAGCTATGAAGAACAAACCATATGCATCTTTAGTTGGCAGTGTTATGTATGCACAAGTATGCACAATACCTAATTTAGCTTTTGCATTAAGTGTACTAGGAAGGTTTCAATCAAATCCTGGTATTGCACATTGGAATGCAGGCAAAAAGGTATTGAGGTATTTGAAGAAGACACAAAACTATGTATTAAGCTATCATTGAGACCAAAACTTGGAAGTTGTTTGTTATAGTGATGCTGATTTGGGAGGCTGCATTGATCATAGAATGTCCACAAGTGGATATATTTTCATAATGGCTGGGTGTGCAATGTCATGGAGAAGCAGAAAGTAAACCACAATGGCTATTTCTACAATAAAGTCAGAATATATAGGGTGTTTTGAAGCAACGGGGCATGGTGTGTGGCTGGAAAATTTGATATGTGATATGAAGATAGTTAAAAGCATTGAAGAACCAATCAAGATTTATTGTGACAACACTCCAGTTGTGTTCTTTGCTAAGAACAACAGAAAGTATAAGGCTTCGAGGCTTATGGACATCAAATACTTAAAGCTCCAAGATGGAATAAGAAATGGAACTGTTGATTTGGAGCATATTAGTACATTTAATATGGTTGCAGATCCATTAACCAGGGCATTGCATGTGACAACATTTCAAAGGCATCTGCCAAATATGGGACTGCAAACAACTATCAATAATGTTTGAATGTGGGAGTAAGGTAATTTTCACAACTTTAAGAATGTGTTTTGATCAGAATTTGTGCTTATAATGAATACAAATTATATTACATGACGATGTAATACATTTGTGAAAGCTTAATACTAATCAAACATATGATGATGTTTGTAATTTTGCTGCAATAAAGCAAGAATGGCAGCTGCAGTGCCATTCCTTATTTGACAAGCAATGTGAGAGTAATGCTTGTAATGAAGAGTTCTCTTATCCAAATGTTTATTCTCACACATCTCATTTGAATTGGATTAGTTTGTGATTTTAGTACAAATGGTACTGCAAATTGTATTATATTGTCTAAAGTTCAACTAATGCTTCTTTGAGCATGTTTGAAAGATTTATTTCAACCCTTTTATCTCAGTGGTAACTTGTTAGTCATTTCATTTAGATGTTTTGATCATTCTCATGTGGGAGAATGTTAGAACTTATATGTGAGAAGTGACTCAAAACACCTAATAAAGGTATGAAATAACATGACTATAAGGAGATATAAAGTAATGAAACTTATACATGTTGATCAATGTATAATATAAGGTGAGAAAACTATAAATATTGTACAAAATGATGTAGAGGACTGTTATAAGGAGTTGGAAAACTGAAAGTAACTGCAACCATGATAAGTGGAGCAGTTACATCCTTATAACAAGGGTTTCGACCCCCTTTCTCGGGTAAGTTACAAGGTTCTCAAAAAGGTGATTGATTGCCCTATTGAGAGCAAGAGTTCCAATACGTTTCCAAGAGAAGGGAAGGTCTTAATCACATCTCAGACATCATGGCTTCATCTTCAAGTGAGTACCTTCCATTTCATTGATTGTAACCTGATGCATTCGCAAGAATTAGGGTTGGTAATACTGCATGCATTTATTACAGTACGTAGTTCTTATGCAGTGTTGTTAACGATCCCTATATGCTTAAGTGTGTGTGTGTGTGTGTGTGTGTGTGTGTGTATATATATAACAAGGGCCTTTCATAAACTATTTACTCTCTCCTGATCAAAATTGGTCAGAATTTGCAGGTATGCCTTCATTGACCTACCTTGCTATGCAAGGTAATAATCTATATTATTCAGAATTCCCAGAATTTATATCTGAATGCCGGAACTTGACGTCCCTGGGCTTGTCCCATACTAAGTTAAGTGGCTATATACCAAAAGTGAGGTTTACCAATCTACGTAAACTTGGTTATCTCAAGCTCAGTTATAATGAGTATTTTGGCCAGATTCCGGATAATATAGGTTTGATTTCTGGTCTTCAACATATTAACCTGTTGACCCTAAAAACTACCAAGCCTACGTGGCGCGCAGGCCGAGTAATCTATTAGCCAACTACATCCTTCGGTTGTGTGCGGGGTGTGCTAACTCGTCGGCCGAGCTTGGCCGATGAGTAAAATTTGTTGATGTTGCGTTGGGTCGCGCTACTGATTTCTGCGTCTTGCGATTGTGGTCGAGAAAAGAACACGTCTCGGCCTCTTGGGTTCTCGAGCCTGAAGACAAGGCTACTATCCTTACGAAGTTCACGAATCGTCGTTGTCGGATTCAGTCATAGTGATGGTATTCGTCAGAGTAAACTCACACCGAATCGACACCAAAGTGTAAGGGTACAAATACTTAAAGCGGATATAAGTCTTAATGGTGAACGTGGTTCGGCCGTCGGAATGCCGAACTCTAAATCCCACTTGAGAGTATCCAATCATAAAATAACTCGGCGTGCAATGTGTCGAGCCCAGTAAACTGTAACACCTCACTTCGCCGAGAAGGCTAATGAGATGACCTCGACCAATAAGGATTCAGAAATCCTTCTCGACTGAGACTTGGATAGGTAACCAACCGTCCTTGCCGCAGTGCTGTTGATACCAACGGAAGATGCTGCGAGATCGGCTAATTCTACAGCGACAGAGCTATCTATGCCGACTAAAGATATCACCGGTTGCCTCCACAATGCTGTTGATACCAACGGAAGATGTGTTAGCGAAAAGAGAAAATAAAAATCTCAAAGTTGTTGAGAGAGTTTGGGTAGGGCAGTTGTGTGTTGAATTGGAGGGGTTTTCCGTTGCCATTGCATCTGTATTTATAGGACTGATGTACTTGCTTGGCACGGCCTGATTCTCAAGTAGAGTCATATTTCAAATTCCCATGTATCTGACGTGACTTGATCTTTAAAGGATTTGATCTTTGGTGACGTGGCTTCACCACTTGCTTTCCTTCATCCATCTTCACGGCACCAACCCAAGAAATATGCATTAAAAACTTAGCCTACCTCATCATCACATCACCAAAAAGACCTATGTTCCTAGGCTTGCTTTAAATGAATATTAAATTCATTTTATCTCATAATTTCATCCCATCCATGCATCATGACTTTTCACACCTCTTCTACCATGCATGCATCTCACCAAACCAACTTGATCGATTCCGAGCTACATGCATAACAACATTTATCCACCATTTATCACCCACTTTTAAATGGATAATAATAATAAAATACTCCGATGCTCTAATCCACCACACGTTTAAATTCTAAGAACCCCAAATTAAATTGAATTGTACTGCTCACTTTTGAAGATATAATTTGCACCTCATCTTGTACAAGAAAATATCAAGAAAATATCAAGATAATTTACAAGATAATATCATGATTAAAACCACAATATATCCTCTAATTATCTTAACAATTCAGCCATCCAACGGTTGAGAACTATGTTTATCAACAACCTTGATTGCACGGGCCGATGGTGTAAATTTAGGTCCAAACATAACCTGAGTATGAATCTTCTGGAAGGGAAAATACCTTCCTCTATAGGCCAACTCAGGGAGCTCCAGTACCTTGATCTTACAGACAATTCCAACTCTTTAGTCCATTCTGAACTTGGTCTTTGTACCAATCTCACCCACTTGTCCCTGTCTTCCAATAAACTCATTGGGAAACTGCCTTTGTCTTTGTTCAATCTGAACGACCTCGTTGGATTGGGTTTAGCTCATAATCTATTTACTGGTCCAATCCTTCCTGCTCTTGTCTCTAATTGGACTGAAGTGGTCTTTTTGCAACTTCAAAACAATTGCTTCAGTGGAACCATTCAACCAGAAATTAGGCTGCTGACAAATCTGATAGATTTGGATCTTTCGGAAAACCAGCTGTCAGGGCCAGTTCCCAGCGATTTTGGCAAGTACATTAAGTTGAGATTTGTTAGCTTTTCAAGCAACAATCTCTCCGGAGAGTTTCCACCAGAGTTGTGCAATGGATTTGCTTTGCAGGATTTCAGAGCGAACCATAGCAACTTCACAGGGGCATTTCCTGAGTGCTTCAAAAATTGTTTGGCATTAGTGAGAGTGCATCTTAAAGGGAAAAAATTATCGAAAACATAACAAATGCATGTGGCATTTACCCCAGTCTTGAACTTATTTCGCTTAACAACAACCAGTATGTTGTTCAGTTCTATCCCATCCGAGCTTGGGCAGTTGAGACAATTGGAGTATCTAAGGCTTGATAGGAACCGATTCACCGGAAACATTGCAAATGCATTTGGTGTTCATCCCAGTCTTCGGTTCATTGATCTTAGTGACAACCAGTTTGTTGGTAGACTCTCACCCCAGTAGGGAAAATGCATAAGCATCACGGATATGCGTATGGGTAGAAATAAAATTTCTGGTCGAATCCCACCTGAGCTTGGGCAGTTGAGACAACTGAAGTATCTGAGCCTTGATTCCAATGAATTCAGCGGAGAGTTGCCAGATGAAATGAGAGACCTATTCTGGTTATCCGCATTCAATCTGAGCAGAAATCACTTGACAGGAGATATTCCATGGACTCTAGGCAAATTAACTAAGTTTCAGTTGCTTGATTTGTCCAATAACCACTTGAAAGAAGTGATGCCATGGAGTCTAGTAAAACTGACTCAACTTCAGCAACTCGATTTGTTCGCTAACAACTTGACAGGAGAGATCCCATGGAGTTTACGTATGTTGTACTTCAAGCTTCTTACTTTGTCTAATAAAACTGACTCAACTTCAGCAACTCATCTGTTCGTCACCATAGGCTTAACAGGTTTGGTCTACTTGGATCTCAGCAGCAATTTACTATCAGGTGCAATACCATTAGAATTGCACATGCTCACAAGAATAGAGATTTTCAATGCCTCACGCAATCATCTCTCAGGTGAAATCCCATCAACATTAGCTTACATGTTTACTCTAAGTAGCTATGACTTTTCGTACAACAACTTGACAGGGCCATTCCCAACTTGTGGAATTTTCAGAAAGGCGCCAAAAAGTGCTTTTGTTGGTAACTATGGCTTGTGGAGTCATGCAGAATGTAAGTCCTCCAGTACAAATTCCAAAAGTAACAACAATTATTCAAAAAGTGCTAACAAGAATATAGTATCTGTTGTTAGAAATTTAATAAATTAAATATTAATATTATTAATATTTAACATATTAAATGTTCAAGCGAATGAAAATTAAATTGGAAAAGTGATTTAGTCTTAAACTGCCTATATATTGCAGTATGCAACCAGTCAGCAATTGTTCCTTTTAATTTATTTTATTTTATTATGAAAATGGTCATTGAAAGGTTTGACCAGCAGATTTTCAAGGGTTATGTATGTTTGAACAAAGGTCACAACCTTTGTCATTTTGGAAACCGATGCAACTTTGAAAAATGTTGCATCTTTGTCTTATGGAAAATCAGACGCAACCCTTATGTTTCAGTTGCAGATGCAATTTTGAATAAGGGTTGCGTCCTTTGCTTTTTGGAAGCAGACGCAACCTTTGAAAATGGGGCATGTCAAAGCCTATAAATAGACTACCAAGTCAAGCATTTTAGACATAGTTTTGCATCCAGAAATCAACTAGAAATTAGAGTAGTTTAGTGTCTGATAAAGAGAGAGTTTTAAACACTTTTGGTTCGCTGTTCTTTGTGGATTGGAGTGCTACTTCTGCAAAGAGAAAGATCGTTGTATTCTGAGAGACATTTGCCAACGCAAACCTTGAGGCACCGCTGAGGGGCAATCTTGTCTTAAGGCTATAGAATCAAATTCTAGCCTCGATCTCTTAAGGTTCTTCTATTCCTTGTTCTTCTTGCATTTGTAGAGATTTTATTATGTATTATTTAATAATTTATAATAAAATATATAGCAATTTTTCCATAACTTTTTTCAACATCTGTTATCCTTTATTCCTTTTGGGGTTTCATATTGGTTGCAATAGCCATTGCTTTCTTTCTTATGTTTCGGAAGAGGTCCAAGATCCGGCGGTAATCAAAACTTCTCAAAACTTTGAGAGTTTTGTATCAATGATATTGCAAGGGGAAGAAAAATTTACATTTGCGGAAGTTGTGAAGGTTGTAGATGACTTTCATGAGAAGTACTGCATTGGCAAATAAGGGTTTGGAAAGATTTACAAGGCAGAGCTCGAATCAGGCCAAGTTGTTGCAGTTAAGAGGCTTAACATGTCAGACTCTAATGACATTCTAGCAATCAATCTCCAAAGTTTTTTAAGAATGAAATCCGTACTTTGACAAATATCCGTCATCGCAACATCGTTAAGTTGTATGCCTGTTTGGTATTCTATTTAAATTTTTTTATCATTTCTCAAAACATTTCTTAAGAACATTTATTGAAAAAAAATTTCTTTAAGATTTAAAATTTTTAAATCTTACGACTTAAACTACACAAAGAGATCTAAAAAGAGGGGATCTCAGGAGAGAGAGAAAGAGGAGAGAGGAGGAAAGAAGTAAGAGATGATTGAAGGAAAGAGAAAGAAAAGAGAGGATCAGACGAGATAAAGAGGAAGCTGAGTGAGAGAAATAACCGAGAGAATGAAGAGAGCGGATTGGAGGAGAGACGAAAAAGGTAAAAAGAAAAAAGAGGAGAGAAAGAAGAAAAGAGAAAGATAGATTTCGAGTGAGAGGGGAGGAGGGAGAGAAAAGAAATGAGTGAGTTTAAGTTTAAAAACTCTAAAAACTCACTTTTTATGTTTTAGAGAATAGACTATATTTTTGAGTTAGTCTTGAGTTTAGTTTTTGAAAATAGTCCTACCAAACAAGTTTTTAAGGCTTAAAACTTGAAAATTATTTTTGAGTTTAAAAGGTTAGATTCAAGTAGAGTACCAAACATGCTTCTGTTCAAGGAGGGGCTGCATCTTCTTGCTTTATGAATATTTAGAGAGAGGAAGCCTTAGTAAAGAATTGTATGGAGTTGGAGGAGTTACTGAGCTTGGCTAGGGTTCAAGAGTCAAAATGTGTGAGGGTTGGCTCATGCACTTGCTTACCTGCATCATGACTGCTCACCACCAATTGTGCATTGTGATGTTACCGTCAACAATGTATTGCTTGAGCAGGATTTCGATCCCCGACTCTCAGATTTTGGAACAGCAAGACTGTTGAGGATGGATTCATCCAACTGGACCAACATTTTTGGTTCGCTAGGCTACATGGCACTAGGTAATATAAAAATTTAATGTTCTGTAATTTTTTTTGGCCTATCTTTTGGTGATTGAGATATGTGTAGAGGTGACATATTTTTTCTTTATGGACAGAGCTCGCATATACTATGCAGGTCACATATAAGTGTGATGTTTATAGTTTTGGAGTGGTAGCACTAGAAGTCATGTTGGGAAGGCACCCCAGGGACAAGCTAGAGTCCCAACCCAACTATCGAAATCATCAACGTCAATGAATGAAAATGCAGAGCTGCTTTTGAAAGATGTGTTAGATCAATGACCGGAGCCTCCAAGCAATGAATTGGCAAAGGCAGTGGTGCTTGTAATGAGTATAGCGTTGGCTTGTATACGTACACGTCCTGCGCTGCGTCCGACAATGCTTTCTGTGGCACAAAATCTGTCAGCTCAAAGTCTTACTTGCCTTCCTGAACCATTTGGTATGCTTACCATCAACAAGCTATTGGCCCTATAAAAATCGAAGAAAATAGGGAACATATAGCTCCAACTTCACATTAGAATTCTTACTACGTGCAGTCTATATCAAATAAGGAGAATCTGTGGAATTTTATTTCTTAATGTTTACAACAAACTTCATGAACATGTATTTGAAATCTGCACCACCTTAATTACAACATAGTGTTGCAAATTGTGTGCTCAAAAGATATAGTGTTTAACCTGTGGTCAATCTAACATTAGAACACAAAGTTAAATATCACATATTTGTGTGTGTGTGTTTGTATATATATATATATGCATCTAACTCAGCCACAAAAACCATCACTTTCCCACACTCCAATTCTCCAAAATTTGGGATCCTTTTGCGGGTTGAAATGCGGGTCATCGGACCCAATACTCAAAAGGAAGGTAAAACGCCACAATGCAGCAATAAACTCTCTTTTAGCTGCAGGGGCAATGAGCTCTCCCCCAATTGGCTCTTCCCCCTAGAAATATGGATCGACCAACACAACCCCAATCAGCTTAACACCAACCTTCCCCTCAGAGCCTACTCTCACTCCCATGTGGTGGGCTATATTACCTCCGGCACTGTCCCCAGCAAAGAACACGCATTGTGAATCCGCATAGCTACTTAGCCAATCTTCATCTTCTTCTTCATCGCCCTTTCGCTTTCCATCAAAATGGGAAGCCACCATTTGATAGCAGCCCACGAATTGTCCTAGGCAGCTGGGTGAGGGTGCTCCGGCGCAAGCCTGTACCCGACAGAAATGGCAACAACATTGGAGTCGTGGGCTAAGGAGTTGAGGTGGTCATGATAAGTGGGAGAAAAGGCGCTTTCAATGCAGAAGCCTCCGCCGTGAGAGTAAACGAGAAGGACTTAGAAGGCCTCTAGTGGAGCAACTTCTACCTTATCGCTGAGCTGGAACATGAGTAGATTGATCATTTGGCTAACAATGACTGTAATTCTTGGTAGGTGGTTTTCAGCTATGTCTTGTGGCGTTTCGTATGATCGCATTAGTGATATCAACGTGTAGGATGACGTGTGCTTAGGTATTTAAGGGAGCTAAATATTCTCAGGTTCTGGTCGTCTGCATGGCAGATGCACTTTGAAGAGAACTTTGTCGGAGCCTTCAAAAGGGTTAGAGAAAAATGAGATCGTCGTCCGAGCTGTGATTTTACGCTTTGAAGTTGGTGGCCCGAAGTTGTACGATTTTTGTGTAACTAAAAAACCTTACCTCTCAAAAAATAAAAAAATAAACAAAAGAATGTAAAAGAGGGCTAATATCTTCTATATATAAAGCGAGCGGGCTGGTGAACAGTGGACGACAAAATTTTGGGATCACGCATGCTGACAAAAATCGATAAAAAATTATTGGACCAAAATGCCCCTAAAACAAGAAAATCAAAGCCAACCCAAAATAATTCACCAAATAATCTATGGGTATTTTTGTCATTTTAACAGTGATGAACAGTTTTGTAATATTTTACTATTCAGTCTACAGTGATAAACAGTGTTTTAATGTTTTAATATTTTAATATTCTGTGTACAGTGTTAAACAAACAGTTTTTTAATATTTAACTTTTTCCTATTACAGTTTTTTTTTTTTTTTTTTTTTTTTTTAAATAATTAGTACCTTACAATGTACTAGTAATAATGTGATTCAATCAGTTATTTATTAAATATTAGTTTCTCTATTTTTAAACACGTTCAAAATATCTTAAGAGGCGTGTAGTGCCGGTTATAAAAAAAAAGTCATTCGCACGCTCATAACGCATAATTAATTCTTTTTGTATAGTTTTTTATATAAAAATATTTAAAACGTGTAAGTCCATCGTAGCACCCCGTGTTTTTTTTTAAAATAATTATTACCTCACAATGAGTTAGCAATAATGTGATTTAATTAATTATTTATTAAATATTATTTTCTCTATTTTTAAACATGTTTAAAATATTTTAAGAGGCATGTAGTGCTGGTTATAAAAAAGATCTTTCGCATGCTCATAACGCACAATTAATTCTTTTTGTATAGTTTTTTTTTATATAAAAATATTTAAAACATGTTAGTCTATCTTAGTACGCCATGGTTCAAAAAATACATTTTGCACGTACGTGAACGCGTGTATGAAGGCTAGTGTAAAAGAAAGCGAACGTAAACTGATCTGTTGTTGTTCATAAATTAAGAAGACAAAATACAATACAAAAGGGGACATAAAACCTGCTTGCAAGAAAGCATTCTGCTTCATTGACCGTAGATCCTGTTGAGATAAATTTATACATATCATAATATCTTTAACACGAGGCACTGCATTGTCTGCGTACGTGTGCCATGTAAGTACTTTTCTGCATTCGTGTCAAGTGTTAATTTCTTATCATTTTACAGTGTAATAGTAATTAAGATGGATGGCCCAATTAATCACTTCATTGTTTGATTTGCTTTGCCAACAACTGGACTCATTGAAACACGTAGAACAAACGATTGTCTTGCATTCCAACCCCAACCTAATATGGACCCACAATGGCAATTATGCATACGTTTGGACAAAAACAAAAGAGGAAAGTAGATTCAATTATGCAATCCATCTTCAGCAGCTAGCTTTTTGGTGAATTAACTTGTGAATTGTACAACATGCAACTTTATATGAACATTTAATAAATCTTCGTCCAAAAAATGAACACAATTTTAGTGAATTAATTAGTTGTTGGGCACATGTCGTTTAACACATTAGGTGTCCACATATGGTCTAAATAAGTGGTCTTCTTGTATTTTTTATTTTAAATTGAAAGTAAACATCCCAAGAAACAGAGCAATATCTGGCAAGAGAATAAAAATTTCAAGTAGCATTAAAACATATTAACACCAAAATAGTACATTCATAAAGTTAATAAAGCATAATTGGTGCAAATTAGATATACTTGACAAAAATAAAAAGCCCAAAATCAGTCCATAACAAGCATAATCTAAAAGGTAATACAATACAAATGCCCAAAAATAACAAGCCCACAACAACAAAAGCCCTAGACCCACAAGGCTGCTGCCTCCTGTAAAACAGCTGCACTGCCATTGTCGATCCGTCACGATCACCAAGAAGAAGAATCCATGAACAAGCTGGATAAACGGAAAACGGGAGTGAACGAGCCACCCACGTAAAAAACGCTTTCATAATCGTACCAAATAGTGCTACAAGTACTTTAACAACAATCAAACTCCAAAGTGCGCCAATGGGAGACACACGATGGGCCGAGTAAACGATGAGGAGAAGCAACGGAGGAAGAAAGGGGCATAAAAGCCCAGATTTGAAACAAGCTCAGGAGGTTGAGACAAACTTAAGAAAACTAGACATTAAGGGGCATTACCGGAAAAACCAAAGAGAGGGGACAGAAAGGAATGGGGCTGGAAATAAATAAGAGGAAGGGGGGCAGATAAGCAGGGAGGAAGGAGGAGGAATTAAGGGAGGGGATAGGGGAAGGTTGAATATCAGAGTGCGCAACGAACGAGACTAACAAAAGAATAGAAATATTATTAAACAAACTGAATGCTAAAACGGCTACATAATCCCAAGAGACTACATCGTGACTGATTTGATTAATTGAAACTAACTGATACAAGCACTACTATATATAGTGAAAACTAAAGCAAAACCTAATCCTTAAAGGACATAGAAAACTCTAATATCCTTGTCCTACAAGAAAACCATAAAACAAATCCTAGACAAAACAAAAAACTTAACGGGCAAGTAACAAATCCTTGGCCCGCAAGATAACAACCTAAATTCCAATCTAAATTCCAACACCCCCCGTCAAACTCATGGCGGTACACAAACATGAGTTTGCCAACCAGTAGATGCGGATGCAATCTCCGTTAGGCGGACAAGACAAGGCGAACAAGCTAGCAAACGAACGAACAAACGAGCAATTCAAGCGAACAAGCAAGCAAGCGGACGAGCGGACGAGCAATTCCATCATTCAACCATTCCTTCCTTCATCCTGGGCCCAAACAAACAACCGATTTGTCTCCTTTTTTTTTTTTGAATTTTCTTTTCGCTTTTTTTCTTTCAACAACAGTACGATAACAGTGAGCAAGCGGGTCTTGGTTCGTCGATGCATGATCTTGGCGCGGGGTGTTCATCAGGACGCTGCAGCAAGCAACAGCAGAGGTTCAAGACTAGCACGAGATGGTGATTGGTCAAGGTCTCAGTCGAATCTGGACGCACATGGATCATGCAAACGAGGCAACGGACGTGTGGGTCAGATACAGTGTGGGGGCGACGGGTACGGCGGAAGCAGCGGATTCAACTGGTGGTGGTGCGGACAACGAGTTCAATGGATAGCCGCGGAATCGATTCAAGCAGCGGAGTAGCGATGCACGACAAAGCTTTAGCAAAAATTTTTGTTTTTTTTAAATATCAAACTAAACGAACATACGAAACTAATAACAACCAAAGCAGATTAAATCCCAAAGGATTGAACCTGCTCTGATACCAAGTTGAATATCAGAATGCGCAACGAACGAGACTAACAAAAGAATAGAAATATTATTAAACAAACTGAATGCTAAAACGACTACATAATCTCAAGAGACTACATCGTGACTGACTTGATTAATTGAAACTAACTGATACAAGCACTACTATATATAGTGAAAACTAAAGCAAAACCTAATCCTTAAAGGACATAGAAAACTCTAATATCCTTGTCCTACAAGAAAACCATAAAACAAATCCTAGACAAAACAAAAAACTTAACGGGCAAGTAACAAATCCTTGGCCCGCAAGATAACAA